GTGTAACTTCACTGATATTAGGAGCTCTTGTTGAGACCTATCAGATTCTCTTGGATTTCTGTAGCACAGTCACACCTTCCTGTCTATCAGATAAAGTCCTGTAGGTCAAATGGAGGGAACAGCCTTCTTCCCCATCTATGGTTCTGAAACCCCACGCCCAGCCTCAACATCTTGTCCCATCCTTCTTGCCTTTCCCTCCTATATTCACGTTTTCTTCTATCCTCTCCCTTTCTCTCTTCTTCCTTCCCTTCTGTCCTCCCTCCCTCCCTTTCATTTCTTTAACACCCTAAGTCTAGTTTAGCCTCAGCCCTTCTTCATGGCAGACCCAGTTCCCTTAACTGCCTGGGACCTCCACCCCCATCTCAAGACCATGGATATTCGGTACTGGAGCACTTCTTCTGACCCAGACCAATACTGATGCATTTCCCACCCAGGAATACTGGGTTCCCCAAGCTTGGGGGTTTGGCTTACACACAATGCACAAACCATTGGCACTGGGTCTAGCTGTGATAGCCTGATCTCTACCAAAATTTCAAGAAAGAACTTGGTCATTTCATTCCAGCACCTGTAATGGTTGTTGTTGTTAAGTGCCGTTGAGTCAATTCCGACCCACAGCAACATTGTATATATAGGGTTTCCAAGTAGCAGCTGGTGAGCTTGAACCTCTAACCTTGCGGTTCAAACGACTTTGCAGTCTGACACATTAGCCCACAGCACCACACCAGGACTCCTTACCCCTAAGGAAGCAAGACCCTTGAAAAGGTGGCCCACATGCACTGTCTCCGATCCCTCATCTTCTATTCATATATCAGCTCCTTCCAGTATTTTTTAATTGCCCTACCAAGGTCATCAGTGGTCTCCCATTTGGAAACCCCGTTAAACACTTATCAATCTCTCCCTTACTTGGTCACTTAAGAGTATTTGGCAATGTGGATAATTTTGTTTCATATTTACATCTTTGAGATATAATTAACATACCCACAATTCACATACTTAATGTGTATTTAACATATTCACAGAGTTGTACAGCTATCACCATAATCTAACTTGAGAACACTTTTATCACCTTCCCAAAAAACCATATCCTTCTAAATGATGAAGCTGCCCTCCACCTTCCTGTGCCCTGCTCCACAAGAGTGGCTGCAGTGGAACTGGTCAATATCCATATCCCTCAAGCCCCCACCACCTCCAGCTCAAGAGAAAACTTCATCTACTTTCTGTCTCTGTTGCTTTTGTTAGGTGCTATCCAGTAGGTTCTAACGCATAGCAATCTTATGTACAACAGAAGGAAACACTGCCCAGCTCTGTACCATCTTCACAATCATTGCTGTTTGAATCTGTTGTTACAGCTATTGTATCAACCTATCTCACTGAAGGCCGTCTCTTTTTCACTGATCTTCTACTTTACCACGCATGATGCTCTTCTCTAGGGACTGGGCCCTTCTGATAACATGTCCAAAGTGCATGAGATGAAGTCTATCTAACCATCCTCACTTCTACAGAGCATTCGGTCTATCTTGTTCCAATGATAGGTTTGCTCATTCTTCTGGCAACTCATAGTACGTTCCATACTCTTCACCAGCTCTATAATTCAAAGCCCTTTTTTTTTTTTCTTCTTATGTCATCCTTTTTCATTGTCCAACTTTTACATGCATAAGAAGTGATTGAAAAGAGCTTGGCTTGGTGCACTTAGTCCACAAGGTGACATCTTTGCATTTTAACATTTTAAAGAGGTCTTTTGCAGCAGATTTGACCAATACATTGTTTGAGTTCTTGACTGCTCCCATGGGTATTGATTGTGAATCCAAGTAAAATGAAATCCTTGTTAATGTTAATATTTTCTCCATTTATCATGATGTTACTTATTGATCCAGTTGTGAGAATTTTTGTTTGTTTTTAACATTAAAGTGCAATCCATATTGAAGGCTACAGTCTTTGACCTTCATCAAGTTTTCTTTGCTTTCTGCAAGCAATGTTGTATCATCTACATATCACAGATTGTTAATGAGTCCCCCCCCCCCCCAAGTCTTGTCTCTATAGTTCTCACTATTCTCAACATGTCTAGTCAGAGTACTTACTGATAGCAGCTGTAACACACACACACATACAAATCACATATGTGACTTAACACAAAAGTTTCTTTCTCCCATGTACAAAGTCCACTGTGGGTGCTGCTAAGTGGAATATTGTCACTCCAGTGGTCATACAGAGTTCCCTGCTTCTTCTAGATTATGGTACTGTTCTCCACATTCCTATACCCCGTTCCCCAAGAGCTGCAGTGTTAGAACTGGTCTCTCTACCTCTGACACCTGCTTTGAGCAGAGCCAGGAGCCATGGAGTTCTCATTGAGACTGCATTACTGTCCTGCAGACTACTCCAAAATTCTCCCAGAGGTTCCAGTTGTTGAATGCCATACAGTCAGTTCCAACTTATAGAAACCCTGGGTAGGATTTCAGGCCAGAGGCTGGTAGGTTTGACTCTCCAACCTTGTAGTTAACAGTCTAGTGCTTGTCCTACAACACCACATCAGGTCTAGTGTGATTGCTGATGTGGCTGCTATGTGACATAGAGTCGGTTTCAACTCATAGGGTTTCTGAGGCTGTAAATGTTTATCAGCACAGAAAGCGTCCTCTTTCTCCCCAGTGAAGCGCCACACCAGGACTGTTAGCCACTTGTTGTTAAGTGCCATTGCTTCTGACTCATAGTGATCTGGTATAGGGTTTCCAAAGAGTGGCTGGTGAGTTTGAACTGCCAACCTTGCTGCTCAAACCAACCTTGTGGTCCAATGCTTTTCCTACAGTGTCACAAGTGTACCCTAAACCCTAAAGTCCAGGTTCCCTTGGTGTCCCTGACCTAAACACCGGAAAACCTGGGCATCTAAATTTGCCTCTGATCTTTTGTCACCTGTTTATTGTCACTCTGTCTTCAGTAATGATCTCTGTCACCCAAAATGGAGTGCTGGAATCACCAGAAAGTTTGTTATATTGCAAACCCCAGCCCCACTCACAGTTTTCCATTTTGCAGTGGAGACTGAGACTGTGTTTTCCTAATGAGTTCTCAGCACTTCTCATATTGGGCTTCTGGGACAACACTTTAAGACCCACCTCCCTAGAATTCAGGTCCACTCCACAGGAAAGGATTTCACATGCATCCGGATTGAGCACCCAGCCCTCGAGGAATTAATGAACCAGAGAATAAAAGGAAAAGAGCCCAAGCCTCCCGGAGTGCAGACCAGTGAATGGCCAGGAAGCACACCAAGAGCCCTCCTGGACCCTGCCGGCCTTGGACCAGGAGCTCCTGAGTGGATACTCATAGTGACCCTTTCTTCACAGTAGATCTATCCCATAGTGGTTATAAAGCTGTAATCTTTAGGGAGGAATCCTGATGTGATGCTGTGGGTTAAAGTGCTAGTTCACAGGATCGGTTTGAACCACAAAGTTGGCGGTTCAAAGTCACCAGCCGCTCCTTGGAAACACTATTCAGGGTCGCTACAGACTTAATGGGACTTAACAACATTCTTTAGGGAACTAGACTGCCACTCTTTTCTCCCATGGAGCAGCTGGTGCGCTGCTAACTGAAGTTAGCAAACTTGAGCGTTACCACTGACAACCAGGACTCCTTGCCAGTTTAGACAGCGGTCTTTTCTTCCTCTCCTTGCTGCATGCACATTCCTCAACGTGATAGCCCCTCCCCCAGGGGGGCCGGGCCTTCGTGGTCTTTGTGACGTCTAGACCCCTTCTGGAGACAATGGTTGCCAAGGGCGATGTAAACCTAGGGCCCAGGCGTCTAAGGAGGAACGGGGGGCGCTGAGGATTTGGAGCTAGCAAGGGTTCGCACGCGGTAGGTGGGGGCACGCGCGGCAGGTGGGGGCGGGGGCAGCAGGTGAGGGCGCGCGGTAGGTGAGTGAACGTCAGGTGGGTGCACAGGGCCACGGTGTGCATGGGGCCAAATTGGGCCAGTCCAGGAGCATCTCGCAAGGCCCCTTTGCAAGGCGTCCCTCTCTTCTTTACACTTCATTATCCAACTAGCCCTCTCTCCTGCCGTCCAGTGTTGTGTGTAGGGCCTGATGGCGCGCATGGGGGGTGGGGGGTGGGTGGCTACGCTAACCCAAGGATCTCCCATACTGGTGAGGAAATGTGACCTTAAGGCACAACAAGCTTTAGAGTCACTGAAACTTGGGCTGGAATCTCGACTCCCACCCTTCCGGCTATGCGATTTCGAGCATTTACTGCACTTTTCTGAATCTTTGACTTTCTCTTTTTGCAAAGTGAAAATCCATTCAAAGAATAGCGATGGTGCGCTAAGAACTGGCCAGGCGCTTTGCTGGGCGCAACCGTTGCAAATCAGAAAAGATCCCTCTCTCCTGGAACTCACATCCTATGTGGAAATATCTATAAACTGGTGTTTTAAAGTAATCAGGTAGCAGCGATTGCAGAGAAGAAAATAAAGCGAAAGTTACATGGGGGTGGGGAGAAAAACGACTCTGCATGGGGTGGGGGTGGGGCCTCTCTGAAGCCCCACCCCCAGATGAGGTGGGAGAATTGGTTTTGGCAGAGTTCTGGTGTGGGCCTGTAGAATAAACACTGGCCCTCAAGGTTGGTTTGAACTATAAGGTCGGTGGTTCAAACTCATCAGGTGCTCCTCCAAACCCTATACAGGATCTTTATGAGTCAGAATGGACTCATTTATCAACAACAGCCCCAAATGCAAAGACCCAAAGGCAGAGCAGGATTAAGTGTTCTAGGAAAATAGAGATTTGACAGCCAGAGGAAAGTCTAGGAAGGGAGTATAGGTTGGACTGAGGTGGAAAGGAGGTGGGTGGAACCGAGGTGGGATAGGCGTTCCCACATGGTAAGCCTCCGGGCTATGTACCTATTGTTCCTCATCCTGGAACTGGCTGATGTGGCCTGTGGCCCACTCAAGCACCTTATTACTTTCCAGGTCTGCATCTCCTTAAACCGAGGTCAAACTTTACCACAACCTGTTGGTTCTTAGCCAAGATGTCCGAGATGCTGACCACTGTGATCACCAAGAAGATGAGTGGCGAGAGTAAGTGTGGGCTGGGCTGGTCCCATACTTGGGGGCACCTCGCTCAAAGGTGAAAGACTGCTTTGGGGTCTGGGAAGGCAGAGTTGTGACCTAGGCAAGAGAAAAGTAGATTGGCTCTAATGTCATTCCATGAGGTAGAAACCACAGAATTGCATAGTTCCCTTGAAAGACTCTGAGGAAGATGCCATTGGAGGCTGCCCCTCAGCTTCCTCCAACCATGACTAACCTGCAGCCCAAGGAGCAGTCACATGGCACCAGGCCCTAGTTGTATGAACTATCCCGCTTTCTAGTGAGTGCCTAAATGGGCAGAATGGACACTATCAACCACCTGTCCAACTCTGTCCCTTTGTTTTTTAAACTTTAATTTATTTGTGAATAGTAATATATTCTTATGGTTTGGAGTCCTGGTATGGTGCTGTAAGATAAGCACTGAAAAATTGCAAGGTTGGTGGTTCAAACCCACCAGCCACTCCTCAGAAACTGTATACAGGATCACTGTAAGTCAAAACCGGACTGGATAGCACTTAACAACACTATCTCCAGACATCCAATGTCGCCCCCTTGAGGCAGCTAGATACCTTTTGTGGTCCTTCCGAGTGTGCGCTCTGCCCATATGTAAACAAAGATGCTGTTGTTGTCAAGTGCCATCAAGTCATTTCTGACCCATAGTGACCCTGTATAGGGTTTTCAAGGAGCAGCTAGTGAGCTTGAACTGCCAACCTTGCAGTTCAAACGCCTTTGCAGTCTGGCACATTAACCCACAGCACCATACCAGGACTCCAAACAAAGATGTACAGATAGATTTTTCTTTTTCCCTCACAAACGATCACACTCACTTTTTTTCATTTAACCAATACGTTATGGTGATTATACCTTACCAATACATAAAGAATTTCCTTATATTTTTATGTTTTTGAGCAAAATAGTCTTAGTCTGAATGTATCAATGTAATCTGTTTAAACAGTCTACTACAAGTGGTCATTGTTATGGATTGAATTGTATCCCCCCAAATATGTATCGACTTGGCTAGGCCAAGTTGTTGTTGTTGTTGTTGTTGTTCAGTGCTATCAAGTTGGTTCTGACATATAGCGATCCTGTATAGGGGTTTCCAAGGAGTAGCTGGTAGGTTTGAACTGCCACCTTGAGGTTCACGTAGACCTTGAGGTCCAATGCTTAGCCTACAATGCCACACCAGGACTCCTCAGTATTATATAAGTATCCTCATTTTGTGATCTGATGTCATTATTCTATGTGTTATAAATCCTAATTTCTGTGACGTTAATAAGGCAGGATTAGTGGCAGTTATGCTAATAAAGGGGGGGTGTCCTGGAGTGGCCCCTTAGGATAAGTAGTGAAAGGATCAGCTGTTCCTCAGAAACCCTATACAGGGTCACTATGAGTCAGAACCAACTTGACAACACGTTAATAAAGCAGAATAGGTGAGTGATCTACAGGGTTAGGTTATGTTTTGAGTCAGTCTCTCTTGAGATACAATCATAAACAATATTAGACAAGGGAGCAGAGCCTGAGGAACCTCCCACCACCGAGAAAGAAGAGTCTGTAGTGGAGTACGCCCTTTGGACTCAAGAGCCTTGTGCTAAGAAGCTCCTAGACCCAGGAGAAGATCAAGCCAAGGAACAGTGGGCCCCACAGATGTTGAGACAAGAGCCTTCCCCGAGAGCTGACACAGAGAGAAAGTCTTTCCCTAGAGCTGATGCCCTGAATTTGGACTTTTAGGCTCCAGAACTCTGAAAGAATATATTTCTGTTTGTTAAAGCCATCCGCTTAGAGTGTTTCAGCAAAAGCAGCACTGGAGAACTAAGACGTTCATTTAGCTTGTTTCAAAACTTGTGCTAATACAAACAATTGTTCCCATAGTTACGCTTTTTCTCTTGTTCTTCTCTCTCTCACTCACTCACTCTTTTGCTCCACAGTCAATAGAAAAAATTTAAAGTTGAAACAGAATTCAACCAACACACACAAAGATACTGCAGCTTTGAAATGTTTACCAGTAACAAATTTAATTCTTGTAACACTAACACAGAACAATGGGAGATAATTGTGCTATCCCAAGATAATTGAAGGATTTATATTTATATTTATGTCTTTGCATACAAAGTACATGTTGGTCACTGTGGAGCTGGTAGATTCCCAGACTGTGTGGATAGTCTCCCTGGGAGACTGCATGTAGACAAGAGCCTCTTGAGCTGAGTACTACAGTCTGGGCCCAGGTTCCCACTAGACTGGAATCTGTGCCCTTGTCCAGGCCTGCAGGCACAGATGACCAGACAGGCCTGGGCTGAAGTGAATGGGCAATGGGACTGCTGAACCCAGCATCTTAGAGTCAGCTGGGAACAGAGGGAGAGGCCAGGCAGACTGATTCACAGGGAAAGGAGAATTGGCAATGCTGAGCTCCAAGTCTGGGCCAGGTATTTGCATGGAGATAGGACCCCGTCATATCTTCCCCTGTCCCTGGATCAGGTCCTCTGCCCACTTGTTTGGTCATTGCAGAGAGCAGACGTGCTTGCAGGCCCTGTTATTCCTTGACTGTGTCATCTGACTAAGTCACATCCTGTCTCCGAGCCTCAGCTCCCTCATCCTATCCCCTAGGACTATGTAAGTTTAATGAGAAAATGAATGTCAAGCACTCCACAAAGTACATAGTAAAATTAAGTGCTCTGTAAATGGTAGCCATGTTGACACTGCTATTCTTGTTTCTGTTGTTGCTATTGTTACCACGGGTGGGTGGGACTAGGCTGCTCTCTCCATATCTTAAGCTTGAGTTGAAGGTCAAAGAGAGAGAGATGCTGAGAGACTAAGGAGCAAGAGGAGGATGAGGGTCAAGGACTGAGACAGGGGCCCATCTAAGGGGTCAAGACCCATGTCTCACATGGTGCCCTGCCATGTTTTACTCCACCATCCTAAAGACCTTTGTGCCAACATTGTACCTAAAACTCATATAGGAGAAAGTAGTCAGAGGCGTAGCTTTTTCTGCTCCTCCTTTTGGGGTCTATTACTCCATCTTTTCCATCCTGAAGGGTCGACGAGCCATGACTCTGGAAGTTGGGGGTCATGAAACTTGGATCTCTCCATTTCATCCTGTTTCATTCCTACACTACACACCAAAGTCTGTCCTTGAGGACTCAGTCCTGGCCCAGCTGCTCAGGAAACTCCCCTGGTCCCATTGTATCTTTGCCAACTCCTGGCTTAGGTCCAACTCCACTGCTTCTTCAGCAGGCCCATATCCCCTGCATGCACGGAGCAGGAGTGCTTAGGGAATGCTTGCTAAGAGCACCAAGGGCATGGACTGAGTACCAGAGTTCAGAGCTTGTTCTTTCTCGCACAGACCTTTATTAAGTATCAGCTGTGTGCTGGCCATATGTTCTAGGCACTTAGTCCAATAGATGATTGACATCCTCCCCTGTGGGGTTACAATCTGGTTTGATAGTTAGACATTGAGAAAGAAATGATCCATCTGTATTGACAAAGACGAATAAATGGTTGTTTTTGTTGTTAGGTGCCATTGTGTTGGTTCCTCCTCATAGTGACACTATGAAAACACAAGGAAAAACTGCTCAGTCCTGTGCTGTCCTCACAATTGGTACACTTGAGCCTATAGCTGGCTGCCATTAGGGGTCTTCCTGTTTTTCAGTGACCCTCCACTTTACCAGGCATCATGTCCTTCTTCAGGGACTGGTCCTTCTTGATAACACATCCAAAGTATGAAAGATGAAGTTTCACCTTCCTCAGTTTTAAGGAGTATTCTGGCTGTATTTTTCAGATCTGTTTGTTCTTCTGGCAGACCATGGTACTTTTAATATTCTTCTCCAACAGCATAATTGAAATGCACCAATTCTTCTACCATGTTCCTTATTTGTTGTCCAACTTTCACATGCATATGAGGCAATTGAAAATACCATGGCTTGGGTCAGGTGCATCTTAGTTCTCAAATTGGTATCTTTGCTTTTGAACACTTTTAAGAGGTCTTTTGCAGCAGATTTACCTAATGCTTTTTCCTATTCATTTGATTTCTTGATTGCTGCCTCCATGAGTATTGATTGTGGAGCCTAGCAAAATAAAGTCTTTGACAATCTCAATCTCTTCAATCTTTTCTCCATTATTGTGATATTTATTGGTCCACTTGTATGGATTTTGTTTTCTTTACACTGAGGTGAAATCCATACTGAAGGTGATAGTCTTTGATCTTTATCATTAAGCATTTTAAGTCCTCTTTGCTTCCAGCAATCAAGGTTGTATCATCTGCATATGTTGTTGTTAAGTACCATTGAGTCGGATCCAACTCATAGCGACCCTGTATAGGGTTTCCAATGAACGGTTGGTGATCTTGAATCACCAACCTTGCAATCTAGCGCATTAACCCACAGTATCATGCCAGGACTCCATCTGCATATGGTGGTAGTGTTGTGCCAGAGAGTTGGTTCTGACTCATAGTGACCCTGTATAGGGCTTCTGAGGCTGTAAATCTTTACCGGAGCAGAAAGCCTCATCTTTCTCCCATGGAACAGCTGATAGTTTCAAACTTCTGACCTTGAGGTTAGCAACCTGATTTGTAACCACTACATACCAGAGCTCCTTATCATCTGCATATAACATGTTGTTAATGAGTCTTCCTCAATCCTCATGCCAAATTCTTCTTCATATAATCCAACTTCCCAGATTATTTGCTCAGCATACAAATTGAATTTAAATAGGGTGAAAGGATACAACCCTGGCTAACACCTTTCCAGATTGTAAACCATTCAGTATCCCCTTGTTCTGTTTGAACGACTGGCTCTTGATCTACATACAGCTTCCTTATGAACATAATTAAATGTCCTGGAAAACTCATTCCTCACAATGTTATCTATAGTTTGTCATTATCCACATATTCAAAAGCCTTTGCATAGTCAATAAAGCAAAAGGAAACATCTTTCTAGTATTCTCTGCTTTCAGTCAAGATCCATCTGACTTCAGCAATGATATACCTAGTTTCACATTCT